AGGGAAAGATTTATTATGGGAATTGCTTACTTGATTCCAGAGGTGGAGAAGTCCCACGACCTGTGATCTGTCTCCACTCAGGAAAACATGGTGTCATTCAGCTTGAGATTGAAGGCCTAAGAACTAGGGGAGGTATGTGGAGTGGGGGGCTGGGCATGCTCCCACATTGGGAAGGTGATCTTTTTTACTTAGTCCACTGATTCAAACGCTAATCTCTTCCAGAAGCATCCTCATGGGTACACCCAGAAATAATGTTTTACCACCTCTCTGGGCACCCTTAACCCACTCAAGTTGATACATTAAATTCACCAACACAGCAACCAGTTCTTCAGATCTGACACCAACTGGGTACCCAACAAGTTCATTCAATTTTGGCATTAACTACCTAGAGTTCATCAGACCCCATAGGTCAAGGACTCAGCCCCACAACACTCTCCTTACTTAAGGTGCCAACCACTAGTCAGGATCCCCAGACTACTAAGAGTATGGCCCCTAAATAGCTTCAGAATGAGGACCGGCCACTTTTGTCTGGCTGATTATAAATTTGGGGCTTCCCATGACCTCCTCTCTTAGATTCAGTATTCGCTATAATAAAACAACTCACAAATTCAGAGAAGTGCTATTCTTGTGATTACGATTTTATTATAAGGGAATAGCCAAATGGAAAAGCTGCACAGGACAAGGTAAGGGGTGTTGGCATACATGAGTGGCCATGCCTTCTCTGGCCACACCACCCTCCCTCTCAGCACATTGATGTGTTCACCAATTAGAAAGCTCCCTGAGCCTTGTCATGCTGAGCTTGTAGTGAAATCTTATCACATCTGCAAATAGATTAAACCATTGGCCACTGGTGATTTTTTTTTTTTTGAGAGGTTTTTATTACAGGGTGCATGTGCTCGCCAGAAAGACAGAGAGAGAAGAGAGACAGAAAGCGAGAAATCACCCCCCAGGGGGATGGCCATGCCACAATCCCTTCTCCTCCATTCTCCTCTCGGGATCTTGAGCACGCACGCACATGCGCCAGGTGTGAGTTTAAGCCACCGGGTTCGGGACTCGAACCAGGGTCAACTACATGGGAGTCCAGTGACATAGCCATTACACCAACTGCTGGTCCCCCACCACTGGTGATTGAACCCTATTTCCAGACCCCTACTTTCTCTGGAGGTCAAGGGTGAGTGTGTGGGGTGGGACTGAAATTTCCCACTCACTAATCATGTGATGGGTTCCTCTGGCTTCTGGCCCCCATCCCAGAGCTATCTAGCGCCCTACGCTGAGTCATCTCATTAGCATGAGGTGATAGGCGGCTTGTTATAATGAACAAAAGACACTCCTATCACTCAGGAAATTCCCTGTGGCAAAAGCTCAGGACAAAGACCAAATACATATTTTTTATTATATTGTATTATACAGCAATAAAGCTTTCACCCTGCTCTCCGTCTCTCCAATTTCTTGCTCTTGAAACCCAGTGCTACGCTATAAGAAAGCCCAACCCATGGTTCTAGCCTGCAACTAGGATCAAACGCAAGGTGCGTGAGAGAAAAAGCCAAAGTCCCTATCTGTCTGCAGCTACATGATTGATACCCCTCCCCAAAGCAAGAAGTGCCCAGCTCAGAACTATGAGGGGTCACAGCACATGATCACTGTAAATAAAGTAAGTTGTAAATAAGTCATACAATGACGAACACCAGCTTGCACACAATGTCAGAATACAGTAGCTCCTCCCCCACCTAGTTTCCCTCTCTGTGGTTTTTAATCACCTATGGTCAACTGTGGTGCAAAAATATTAATTGAGGGGCCAGCAGTGGTATGGTGGTTAAGGGTGCTGGACTCTCATATGGCTGACCATGGTTCGAGTCCTGAACCTGGCGGCTTGCTTTCTCACTTTTCTTGTCTCCCTCACTCTGTCCCTGTCTGGTCAAATTGAAAGAAAGAAAGAAAGAAAGAAAGAAAGAAAGAAAGAAAGAAAGAAAGAAAGAAAGAAAGAAAGAAAGAAAGATAAAATCATTCTTTGG